CAAGGCTGGTGCTCTACCACTGAGCTACAGTGCCGCTTCTGGTTTTCTAGTGGTTAATTGGAGGTAAGAGTCTCACCAATTTTTCTGCCTGGCTGGCTTCGAGCAGTGATCCTCAGATTTCAGCCTCCTGAGTAGCTAGGAGACTGTGAGCTTGACCTTTGGGGGTAGGTGTGGAATATTACTTGGTCCCTAGCTAGTGGAACTATTGTGGGAGGTTCCAGAAACTTCAGGAGGTAAGAGTCATACCAGAGGCAATCCTCTGGAGGTGATAGCTGGTTCTCAGTCTCTTCCTCTCTTGCCTCCTATCTACCATAAAGTGACAAATCCTTCCATTCCCAGGCACAAGGGACCTGGCTGTTTGTCAGGTATTTTGGTTAAAGTACTAAAAAAGTTACTAGTACATGTTCTAAAATAAGCAACTTATTTAAAAAATAAAATGTGAAAAAATAAAGTAGAATACTGATAGTGCTGAGGCTTAAATATAGTTCATTCCCTGTTAAAGGCTGTGTTTGACTTTAATTTCCACTGGTAGGTAGAATACAGAAATGTTGGCATGGTGCACCTGTAGTCTCAGCTACTAGGGAACTAAAGCAAAAGAATTACTTGAGCCCAGGAGCTTGAGGTCAATCTGGGCAACATGGTAAGCAACTATGTAACTATCTCTTAAAAATAAAAATAAATAGGGGCTGGGAAGGTGGCTCAGTGGTAGAGCACTTGCCTTGCATGCTCGAGGCCCTGGGTTCGATTCCTCAGCACCACATAAGCAAAAAAAAAGAAAAAAAGCCGGAAGTGGTGCTGTGGCTCAAGTGGTAGAGTGCTAGCCTTGAGCTGAAGAGCTGAGGGACAGCGCCCAGGCCCAGAGTTCAGGCCCCACAACTGGACCCAAAAATAAAATAAAATAAAAATAAACAAATGTGCAAATTTGACTAACATAGTTATTTATAATTTATAAGAACACAGACACTGTATCTCTTACCCTGTGCCACATTGGGACTGCCAACAAAAAAGCTATCACCATATAGACCACTGCTCTTTCAACAAAAGTATAAGCCATAATTTTTGTGTGTTTATGCCAATACTTCTTGAACTCATGACCTGCCACTGTCCCTTAACTTGTTCACTCAAGGCTGCCACTCTATCCCTTGATCTACACTTCCACTTCTGGCTTTTTTGTGGTCAAGTGGAGATAAGAGTCTCAGGGAAAGCTAGGCACCAGTGGCTCACACCTGTAATCCTAGCTACTCAGGAGGCTGAGATCTGAGGATCACAGAAAACAGCCCGGGCAGGAAAGACTATGAGACTCTTGGCTCCAATTAACCACAGAAAACCATGATATGGCTCAAAGTAGTAGAGTAGTAGCCTTGAGCAAAAGTGCTCAGGGATGGTGTCCAGGCCCCCAGTTCAAGCCACAGGACCAGCAAAAAAAAAAAAAAAGGCTCAGCATTCTGAGTAGCCAGGATTACAGGTGTGAGCCACTGACACCCAGCTTATAAATTAAAAAAAAGGAAAAAAGAAATACAAATCTCATCCAATCTGTGGCATTTTATTATTGGCAAGAGAAAACAGAATAAGTATATATATGACAAATAAATAGGTGATATAGATAAAACATAAAGTTAATTTTCAGTGCCTTAAAATAGCAATACAACAAAAGTTAGACCCTTTGAAAATGCCATGAAGAAACCACAGTTGTTTATCATTGTACTAACAGCAACTGGAATAGAACTTGTCACAACTGGATACTCAAAGATATTGACTGAGAAGAACAGAGGAAGGGAAAGAGAGGGAGGGAGGACTACATAGGATACAATTTCAATTTATATCCTAATTTATTTCTAGATTTATGGCATTTGGGGGGCTTCCCCCTCTACTGATTGATTACGGAAGGAAATCTAATAGCATTACAATATTAGGTTTGTTTTAAAATGTTTTCCCAGCTATCTGCAATAGTCAACTTTACCTTCTCAAAATTTTTTTTTTCTCCTGCCTTACTGTATTATCTAGCACTTGCAGAAAGATATCAAGTAACACCAATATTAATTGGCTTTCTCGACTGGCTCTTATTTTCAATGGGAGCACTTTTAAGTTTTTCATCATCATTAAGCATAATGTCAAGCATGGTTTGACATATTCATCTCTTTTATTTGTGTAAAATCATGAATGGATTCAAATTTGTATTTAGATACACAAAATGCTTTAAATTAGATACTTTTTCTTTATTCATTAATACAAAGAAATGTACTAGGACATTTTCTAATAATGAATGATGCCCACTTTCTGACATTTTGACAAAATATATCAGTTAATAATCATAACTATTTATTGGTGTTCTTTCTGTCTGTCAGGGTCCTCTCCCTCCCCTCCACCCCTACTGGAATTTGAACTTTACATCCTTACACTTGTTAGGCAGGCACTCTACCCTTGAGCTACTCCTCTAAACCTTTTTGCTTTATTTTTCAGATAGGGAGACCAAAATTTCTGCCCAGGGCTGACTTTACAATGTGATCCTACTTATAGTCTTTTGTACACCAAGGATCACAGGCTGATACACCACACCCAGTTTACTGACTGACATGGAGTCTCACGAACTTTTTTGCTTGGATTTACCTTAAACCATGATCCTCCTGATCTCAATCTCCTAACTGAGGTAAATAGACAGAGGCTGTTGCACCAGGCTCTTTGCCAGCTTTCTTGATTCCTTCCATATTTATGCTTGCATTTTTCTTAAGACTCAAATTAAATCTATTTGCATTTCTTTAAATAAAAATTTCATCTATTAAATTTTGATTTTCAAAACATTTGAAAATATGAGTTTAATATACTTTTATCTGAATATGTCAATTCATCCCAACTAATAAACAAGTTTCAAAAATAGAAAAGGAGGAAATAAAACTGTCACTCTATTATAATGGAATTTGAAACTACTGCAGGACAAAAAAAGTCAATAAATAAGTCAACAGTACTTCTTATGTACCAGCAAATTAATGATCACTTACAAAGACAACCATTTATAACCAGGTATTGCTGGCTCAAGCTTGTAATCCTAACTACTTAAGAAGCCCAGAGCTGAGGATGAAGGGTTAAAGCCAGCTTCATCAGGAAAGTCCTTGAGACTCATCTCCATTTAACCACCAAAAAGCCAGAAATAAATCTCAAATGGTCAGAGTGCCAGCCTTTAATGAAAAAGCTAAGGGATAGAGCCCAGGTCCTGACTTCAAGCTTCAGTACAGGTACAAAAAAAGATATAATAGGTCAAACAAGAATATTAATTAAAAGATACTGGGCACTAGTGGTTCATGCCTGTGTTCTTACCTAACTTGGAAGGCTGAGATCTGAGCATCACATTTCTTAAAGCTAGCCTGAGCAGGAAAGTCGTGAGACTCTTATCTATAATTAACCACTAAAAAAGCTGTTAGTTGAGCTAGGCTCAAGTAGTAAAATGACAGCCTTGAGAATAAAAGCTCAGGACAGCACCCAGGCCCTGAGTTCAAGCCTTACAAGCACCCCACCCTCCCCAAAAAGATGTCAAAAGATCTAAATTAATGGACATGTCTCATGTTCATGAATAAAAAGACTGAACATGTTCATGAATTAAGAAACTCAACATTGCTGGTATCGGGCTGGGAAGGTGGCTCAGTGGTAGAGCGCTTGCCTTGCATGCATGAGGCCCTGGGTTCGATTCCTCAGCACCACATAAGCAGAAAAAAGCCAGAAGTGGTGCTGTGGCTCAAGTGGTAGAGTGCTAGCCTTGAGCTGAAGAGCTGAGGGACAGCACCCAGGCCCAGAGTTCAAGGCCCATGACTAGCAAAAAAAAAAAAAAACATTGCTGGTAGCTCACACTTGTAATGCTAGTTAGTAGGAGGCTGAGATCTGAGGATCATGGTTCAAAGCCATCTGGGGCAGGAAAGCCCATAAGCCTTTTATCTCTAATTAACTACCAAAAAAAGCTAAAAGTGGAGCTGTGGCTCAAGTAGTAGTACGCTAGCCTTGAGCAAAAAAGCTCAAATACAGCACACAGGCCCTGAGTTCAAGTCTCGTGACCAGCACAAAAACAAAACCATAAATAAAAATAAAAAACAAATAACCCCCCAGGATTGTTAAAGATACCAATCTCTACACTGATCTGCAGATGCAATCCCACTGAAATCCTAACAGATGGTTTGTAGAGCTTTGATAATTCTAACAATTTTAATTTCGAGTGTTTCATTTGTTTCTAACCCAAAAGCCAAAACACTCTTGAAGACTGGAAAAAAGTTCTGGAAATGGAAGAAATCAAAAAACGCTACAAGGCTAGAATGATATGGGCACATGAGTAGACAAATAGGCCAATGGAACAAAAGAAAGTCTGATGGCAGCCATTGAGTGAACAATCAGAACTTCTATTGTTGGATAGAAATCTAAAGAAATTCTTGACCATATGCATCAAGATACACACTGAAGTTTCAATAACACTATTAAAAGCAGCTGAAGCTAGAAATAGTCCACGCGTCCATTAATTGTGGATTAACTATATAGTAGCATGTTAATAAAACAGAATGTAATAGCATGAAAGAATAAAACAGCTATATGCACCAGAATAATCTCTCAATGTTGGAGAGAGTAGAATTACCATCATAAAAAATTCAATTATAGATAAAACAACATTATTGTTTATAGAGAAATATACAGATTATAAAACCAAAAAAGAACAAAATGATCACAAAAGTCCAAATAAATAGTTTACCTTTTAGAGAGGGAAATGTATTCTTAAAGGAGCACACAGGCTTTAAAGACATCATTCTATTTGATGGAATTATAACAAGTATTTTCTTTATCATTCTTTGAACATATGCATGTATTTGCTTAATTCACAGCAAACTTTTAAAGACTACTTTTAAAAGTTAAAACTATTAATAGCCCAATCTTACTTTCAAATGGTAATCAGTATTTACTTATTCATGATGACTTGAGTCAAGTAGACATCAGTATTCTCACAACTAAGAAGTATGAAGACGACATACCTTATATAGTCCAAAGCCAGGATCAATGAGACAAGCACGAGTTGATGTAGAAGGCTGACTGGAAGATCCCACCCTTGCAGCTTTCTTTACTTTAGGTGGACTATTAGAACAGGGTTTAGCCTGTATATCCGTCTGTTTAGATGTGCTAGGAAGATCAGAGTCTGGGCGAACTAGTAGCTGAATTATATCATTCAGTCCAACATTATAGTCAAATAAAGTATATCCATTTTCCAACTAGAAAAAAAAAGAAAAATATTTATTGAAATGTTTCTCTCAAAACAATTTTCCTACAGCTTCAGTTGACCAAATGTCCACACCAAACTATTGAAATAAAGTTCATAGCATGAAAACTTAGTGATCTTGAAACCATTCATACTGTCTTATGTTCTCTGATGTACCTTCTCTGGACCCCAATAAATTCTTAAGAACCACTCTACATTAACTAGAGAGAACTGCTAGTCATTAAATTTTTTTTAAAAAAGCATACCTGCGTCATCATGATTTCCCTACCCTCTCCCCACACCCAAAAAAAACCCCTCAACAACCACCACCACACCTCTACACTGATCTCACTAATTCTGTTTTTGGTTTAGTGTTAGAGACAGGTTTTGCTATATAACCCAGAATGGCCTCTAATTAAAGATCTTTCTACTCCAGTCTCATGAGTGCTGGCAGTACAGTTGTAATTAGCTTTCTCAACAAATATTTTAATGACTAGTGCCTGAATCCACTGGAAGGAAAAAATGTAAATTTTGAAAACAAGTTGTTTTATGACCTTGTGTTCATTGTGATTAAGTCAAATACGTTATATTTCTGAAACACTGTAAATTTTTCATGTTATCTTCCACCTACCTAAAGCTCTCTCTCTTTTTTTATTTTAAACAGTATCCTAAAGCTCTCTTAATTCTATGCAACTTCAAAGATTAAGTTTTATCAGGAAGTCTTCCAGGATGAACAGCAAATAAATTACCTTGCATAAATTGCCTATATTTTGAGATAACATGTTTTAAGTTGTAAGTCAAAGTGTGTTCTCTCAAAAAACAAATGTTTGTAGTCCTACTCCAGAGTAGGCTTAAGATGTAGTACAGTGGAAGTGCATCTACATAGTATGCACAAAGCCGTAGCTTCATGCCACCTCCTTCCACCCCCAAAATAATCCTACATCTGAATCTGACCTTACTTGGAAATAGGTTATTTAGAGGTAATCTGGGTACACATTTGACTGAAGAAATGCAAAAGTAGGGCCAATGCTTGCCGAATTCCAGCAACTGGGGGGAATCAGGTTCCAGGTCAGCTGGACCCCATCCCATCTCAATCAACAAGCCAGGTGTAATGGTGCACATCTTTGATTCTAGCTATGGAAGAGGTCATAGGAAGGTCTGCAGGTTAAGGCCTAGCTGTGCAAAAGCAAGAAAACGGGGGGAAGGGGGAAGCCAAGAGAGGGAGGGAGAGAGAAGAGAGGGAGAGAAGAAGAGAGAGAGAGAGAGAGAGAAAGGAAAACAAAAAAGTATTGGGGTGTATAGCTCAACAAGTGCAGCTAGAGGAAGGTTGAAGGCCTGAGTGCAAAGTAAAACAAAGGCAAAACCTATATCCTCCCAAAACGTATATGCTGAATTCTTAACTCCAACTGTTCTTCAAAAAGGGAATTAAGTTAAAATGAAGTCACTAAGGTGAGCCTCTAATCAAGTATGACTGGTGCTAAAATAAATGTGGACAGAGACAGACACAAAAATGCAAGGAAATTCTCCCATAGAGCTATAAGAGAACACCAGATGACATCTTGAATTCTAGCTCTAGAACAAAAACAAATTTCTGTGGTTTTAAGCTACTAAAGCATTTTGAAACTTTGTTATAATAGCACTTAGGTAACTAATTCTCCATTTTGTTTCTTTATAAAACACTGCTGGCTCTTTCACTATAGTTAAATAAGAAAACTGAGCTTAAAGATCAGGCTACCATTGCCCCAGAAACACTTACACTAGTCATTTTCTTCTCCTTATAATGTAATATTTAATCACCATTCACAACTATCTAAAACTACCCAGACTTTGTGAATTCAACCAAACAAAAAGTAACTCTCTCCTTTTATTATAAAGTCACATATGTCAGTGATTGTATATTTACAACCTACAAGTTACAAGCATTCACATTTATTAAGTAGAACAAGGGATCAAAAATGTTACAAACTGTCAGTAAAGGAATTAAATTAGGTATTATCTTACATTAGTTAGTTTGCCTAGGGGCTGAAAATGCAATTTAGGGTAATGGCAGAGTAACTGACTACTATAGGCACAGTCCTACAAAACATACAAAGATAGAGACATCATGCTTAGTCTAAATAAGCATAAGAAATATCCCAAGGGAGTAAGCAGATATGCTCTTAAATCAATAGGATGTCAATATAATCAGAAAAAAAAATCCAAAGAACTCTACTAATTCAGAATCCTGGAAGGGGAGGGGGGGAACAATAGCCAAAAGAACACCAATTCTGGAAGCAATGAAAAAAAAAAAAACCAATCTGATTAAACATTCAAACCAAGGAACACTGACAATTACAAGACAAAAAAAAAAAGTAGTATTTAGAGTAGAAAAAGATTCTATAATAGCTAGAGTATGCCCACAATAAAGATAGGAATAAACACTGGGCACTGGTGGCTCACGCCTGTAACTCTACCTACTCAGGAGGCTGAGATCTGAGTATTGGGGTTTGAAGCCAGAATAAACCACTCTGAAAAAGCCAGAAGTAGCACTGTGACTCAAGTGGTAGAGTATTAGCCTTGAGCACAAAGAGGCTCTGGGACAGCACCGAGACCCTAAATTCAAGCCCCAAGACTGAAGCGAGAGAGGGAGGAATAAAGATGAGCATAGTGGTTCAGGCCTGCAATTCCTGTATTTGGAAGGCTGTGGCAAGAGGATTGGTAGATAGTTCTAGCTGCCTGGGTTACAAGGTGAGACCATCTCCCACTTTCTTCCTTCCTTTCCTGTAGCAGTGGAGTTTGAACTCAGGATTTTGTGCTTGCTAGGAAGGTACTCTACCTACCACTGGAGCAATGTCCCCAGCCCTTTATGCTTTTTTTTTTTTTTTCAAATAGGGTCTCATGCTTTTTTCCCTTAGCCAGCCTCCACCAGCAATCCTCCCACCTCTGCCTCCCACTATCTGGAACTACACTTGCGAGCCACCATGCCCTGCCTTCACAAGCACAAGCATTTTTTCTATTAAGTCTGAGACCCAAGAGGCAGAGGAATCTTGGGGGACATTCCTACTCTCAACCCTTCTGACTAGTTTCTACAAAATGATAACCAAGAATAAATATTAAGTTGCTTTGAATGGTAGTTTTTCTAAACTTGATTTGACAGGAAAAGTATGCCTAAAGAGTAGAACCCTAAGCAATCAAGGTATGAAACCCTGTAATAAAAGCTGTAACTTGCCTAGAGTCAACCTTTCTTCACACTATCACATACTTTTTTCCTTTACATTATATGTTCCACTCTAGATTCTCGAAGATTTAGAGCTCAAAGTCCAATGAGGAGATACATACCTATAACCCCAGCACTTGGAAGACTGAGGCAGGTGGATCTCAATTTTGAGTCTAGCCCGGGCTATATAACAAGACCTTGTCTCAAAAAAAAAAAAAAAAATTAGTTGAGTGCCAGTGGCTTATGCCCATAATTCTAGATACTCAGGAAGCTGAGTTGATGGATCTCAGTTTGAAGCCAGTGGGGGCAGTAAAGTCTGAGACTCCATCTCCAAAACAACCAACAAAAAGCCAAACTAGAGGTATGGCTCAAGTTAGTGTCAGCTGTGAGTAAGCAAGCTACTGAGGCCTTGAATTCAAAAACCCTGGTCTCTGTCTCTCTCTGTGTATTTCTCTCTCTCTCTCTCACACACACACACACACACACAAAGGGATTTATCAACACGTTTTGGGGGGGAAAATCCACTTTCCAGTGTCTCAAACTCAACTTCCCTGACAAGAAAGTTCAAATGAGGTTTCCCTACTCTAACCAAAATGTCAGCCCTAAATTTCAAGTTTCTATTTTGATCCTCGTAAGTGGAATCAAGGGCTGAGAAATGGCTCAAAAATTACTTGCTACTTAGGAGGCTGAGATCCAAGGACAGAGGTTCAAATCTAGCCCAGCAGGAAAGTCCATGAGACTCTAATCTCAACCACCAGAAAACTGGAAGTGGCACTGTGGCTCCAAGTGGTAGAGCGCTATCCTTGAGTGAAAAAGCTCAGGCCCTGAGTTCAAGCATCCACACAAAGCCTAGTACCGCTGGGGGGGAAAAAAGTGGAGTCAAATTTGCAGCTTCTCAAACTAAATCTGCAGATAGATCACTTAGAGACTAAGTTAGAATATGGATTCTTCTTCAGCAGATAGATGTGTTGTGCCCATGCAAAACTAATGTTGCTGGTCCTAAGAACCCAGGAAAGAGTCTGAGTAGTAGTACTATCCTATAAACACTCATTTTAAAATTTGAATGTTCATCAAGATCTTGTGGGATCTTATTAACTATATACTTGGAATTTTTTTTTTTTTTGGGTCCGGTCGTGGGGCCTGAACTCTGGGCCTGGGCGCTGTCCCTCAGCTCTTCAGCTCAAGGTTAGTGCTCTACCTCTTGAGCCACAGCACCACTTCCGGCTTTTTTCTTTTTGCTTATGTGGTGCTGAGAAATCGAACCCAGGGCCTCAGGCATGCAAGGCAAGCACTCTACCACTGAGCCACCTTCCCAGCCCATACTTGGAATTCTTAAGTACACTTGAAATCTGAAATAAATATGTATAAGTCAGTCTAAGCAGAAGACTTAATAAACGGGGAAGGGAATGTCATTTCTTTTTTGTGTGTGCTGGTCCTGAGACTTGAGGGTCTGAGCACTGTCCTTGGACTTTTTGCTCAAGGCTAGCACTCTACCACTACTATCACTTGAGCCACAACTTCACTACTGGCTTTTTGGTGGTTAACTGGAGATAAGAGTCTCATTATGCGAGACCCTGGTGGCTCATGTAACCTTGCTACTCAGGAAGCTGAGTAGAAGAATTGCAGTTCAAAGCCAGCCTGGAAAAGCCAGCAGGAAAGTCTGTGAGGCTCTTAGCTCCAATTAGCCAGCAAACCAGAAGTGGAGCAGAAAAACTCAGGGACAGCGCCCAGGCCCTGAGTTCAAGCCCCATGATTGAACCCCCTCCCCCCCCCCACCAAAAAAAAGCCTCATGGCCTTTCTTGCCCAGGTTGGCCTCAAACAATTCTCAGCTCTCAAGCATTCTGAGTGAATAGGATTATAGCTATGAGCCACCAGCATCCAGGTTTGTTTGTGTGTGTGCGTGTAAAGTCCATGTGTCTTGCTATGTTACCAAGGGTAAGTTCAAAAGATACTGTTTCAACCTTCCAAGTAAGCTGGAAATAGCATAATGCCTTGTACCAATTAGTTTTATTTACAAATTTTTTATTTATGTATGCATGATGCTTTATTTAACATGTAGCAGTAAAATATCCTGAGAAAAGACTTTCCTTTTTCTTTTTTTGTCGGTCGTGGGGCCTGAACTCTGGGCCTGGGCGCTGTCCCTCAGTTTTTCAGTTCAAGGCTAGCTCTCTACCACTTGAGCCACAGCGCCACTTCCGGCATTTTTCTTTTTGCTTATGTGGTGCTGAGGAATCGAACCCAGGGTCTCAGGCATGCAAGGAAAGCACTCTACCACTGAGCCACCTTCCCAGCCCAGACTTTCCTTTTTCTAATGAGCACAAAGGTATTTTACAGGATAGTGTGACAATGAAGTAGTTGCCTGCTACAGGCACACTATACTCTAAAGATTATGGATCTCCAAAGACAAATAGAGATGCCACACTACTTGTCAGTTCATAAGGACCTGAACACCACTGGATATCTTCATTTTCTCTACGTCAATGGCTGGCATCAAAGTAGTAGGTTATCGACTGACAGGGGAAGAAGTACAAAGAAAGGTTGTACTCGAAAGTTTTCCCCAGAATCTGAAACTATGTTCCTGGTTTACTGAAATTTTACTTTGTAGCTCTGCATTTAATTCAGTCTTATAGCATTTCCTCAAGACATCCAGATGCACTATAGTTTGGAATATCAGATCACTAGACTTTATGAGTGCCATCAAGAAATATAGCCTCATTCTTCACTTCTATCTCTGGTTCTGGAGCCACCAAAGCATCCTAGAAATTTATGTACTATTATTACTTACTAGAAAATAAAATTCAGAGAACTCAGCTTTTCACCTGTGACCAAAAGGAAAAAAAGTTTTCTGCCACTTGAGGCACTGAAACACAAAACTATCTATTATTTAATACAGGTACAACTATGTCAAAGCAAAGCTTACAATCGAGTGGGACATCTCTTTTTGCAAGTCACAAATACTTGTGTTTTGTGCTGGATGCAAATATAAAACAACAATACCTGGATGGCTTTTTCCCATTGTAAATTTTCTTTTAAAGTATCTGGACAATCTTAGAAAGGTAAGCCTGTGAAAGGGAGAAAAATATTCCTTGCAAACTTTTTGCAGCGTGTAGGCTACTTCTACCTAATCAAAATGATCTCCGTTTATTTCAAACTGGAGCCAAACTGATCTATCAAGTGCAAGAAGCCAACTTTTCAATGGAATAAAAACCAAAAGACAACACACACACAAAGATAGGCCTTGGGTGTCTGTCTAGGCATGGTCCACTAGATTTATTGGTGGGACTGGAAAGATCGCAGACTGACCAGATCTTGGCAAGTATCATACAACTATCGGAGATGCTCACAATCACACGCACAGCTGAAAGACTTTCAGCCTCCAAGTTACTTCTGGCCACGCTACAGTGCCGTTTAAAAAGCCTGAATACGGAGAATACCCGAAAGTGAGTGGTAAGAAGAGCCCTCGGGGAATGAACCACAGCCCGAGAAACGGCAGTGTAAACCTAGCCCCGGGTTACATCAATCGCTCCACTAGCCCAGGTTTCTGGCACATCCAAGACTGATGCCACCAATGTAGGCTGCACAGCGAAAGGAGAAGGGACCCAAATGTTCAGAAAATCCTTATCCAAGCGTGCCCAGATCCTTCCAGGTTGTGTCAGAGGGAGCGATGTCATACTTTCCATGTCCAACCTGGGTACGAAGACACGATGCGGACCCTAGCGAAGTCGGGAGAAGCCAGCTCGCGCCTCCCGCGCTGTGGCATGGCTGCCAGCAGCGCCCGCTGCCCTCCCCACTCTCCAAGGCCTCCCGAGCGCGGGAAGCCAGGAGCCCGGAGCAAGCTGAGCCTGAGGCCGCTGTCCCACTGGATAAACAACGGCAAGGTCTCCACGTCCCGGGCTGCCCTCCCCGCGCGACCCACCAGGCGCACCTGTAGTCGCGCCCTCCCCCTCAGCCCGTCCCCACCACCACACACCGCAGGCCCGGGCCCCGCACCCCTGCCCACCCGAGGCGGAGCCCGCGCGCGCGTCGCGTCCGGCCTCAGGCCCACGCATCCCGAGGCGGCGCCCAGGGGGCTCCCGCCCGGAGCTTCGCAAGGGGCCAGGCGGGTGCGCTTCACCTGTTTGCCCCGGTAGAAGAGACGCTGGCACTCGGGCCGCACGTCGAACAGCGCCCAGACCCGCTCGCGTAGCTCCTCAATGGTGGCTTTGCGAGAGACGTCCTCGATGGTGCGCGTCTGGGAGCCGTCGATGGTGCGGACCTGGATCCACATCTTGGTACCAGGAGAGGGAGGCCGGGCTCGCCTTTGTCTCCCCCGGTGCTCGGG